AGAAACATGGGGAGGGGGTGAGTGGCACCCATGGGTGGGTTCCCTCCCCTTCGTGGGGATCTGGGGCACCCAGGGCCCCTGAGCACCCATGACGTGGGGCACCAGGGACCCCAAGCACTCGAGGGGACACAAAGCACCCAAGGGACTCCAAGGACCCAGTGTCCCACAGCCCCCGTGCCCAGGAGCCGCTGGTCCCCACGTGAGCCCCCCACCCGGTGGCCATACCTCGGTGTGGGGCGGGGTGTATGGTCTTCCAGGCAGGTTCTGCTCCATGATGCCACCAAAGGCCATGCTGCCGTCACGGTGGCCATGCTGCTCCCATCTGCCGGAGGACCCCAGCACCGTCAAGTTACCAGCAATGAGCTCTGTCTTGGGATGCTGGCGATGCTGGCACTGCTGGGTGCCGTAATGGGTGGGGATGGGGACTCGGCAGATGTCCTGCTGGCTCTTGTCACCGGTGTCCCCAGTGGACTCCACAAGGCTGAGCCCATCCAGGCTGAGCCTATCCAGCTGGGCGATGGCCTTCTGGATGCTGCACCCGTCGGTGGGGCTGAAGGCACCTTCCTCCGTGACAGGGAAGATCTCAACCACGCTGGCATCCTTACGGGATGCCCTCAAGTCCTCTTGGCAGAGCTGGTAGTACCGGCTGGCCTCAAAGTTGGACTTCACCTGCTGCATGGAGATGAAGGGATGCTTGAGGGCAGCGCTGGGCACGATCCTCTCGTGTGAGTCCCAGGGGAGCATCTTCTTGACCAGCTCCACCGTCCCGCACAGGTCCCAGTGCTCGGCCAGTGCCTCCGGGTTGGGATAAGACACTGGACGGATGTTCACCACCGCTAACTGATGCAGTGAGGAGAAAACATACTTCCTCCTCTTCGTTGGCTTCACCATCTCCTCGTCTGGTGGTATGAGCTGCCAGGAACCGGTGGGATGTGGAACCCGTCGGAAGAAGGACCACGTCTTCTGGGCGGCGCAGAGCAACTTGCCCCGTGGTAGCCGCAAGGTGGAGCATATGTAGCAGACCTGGTCGTACTCATTGACACTTGGGTAGAGTGGCCAACCCAAGTGAAGCTCGGCCACCGCACAACCCAAAGACCAGATGTCCACCTTCTCGCAGAAGGGCACCCCCAACAAGATCTCTGGTGCCCGGTAGAAGTGAGATTGGATGTAGGGTTCCTTGACATGGCAGACCTCGGTGGAGATGCTGGCCAAGCCGAAGTCAATGAGCTTGACGCAGAAAGGATAGCGCACGTGGTCCACCAGCATGGTGTTCTCTGGCTTGAGGTCGGCGTGGATAATGTCCTTCAGCTTGACCAATGCCACCAGCACCTGCGCTGTGATAGTATGGATGTGCCAGATGGGCAACGGCAAGAAGTTGTTCTGCTTTTGGAAGTCAAAGAGGTTTTGCTCCAGCAGCTCGAAGACCAGATAGGTACAGACAGCATCGCTGAAGGACTCGAGGAAGCGAACAACGTGCGACTCCTCCGTGTCCAGCTCCTGCAAAGCTCGCAGCAGCCCCAGCTCATTCTTCACCACCCAGCTATGGTGGTCTTCATTCTTCAGGATCTTGGCGGCCACCATCTCCCCTGTGCTCCTCCTCCAGCCCTGGCTCACCTCCCCGAACGTCCCCTTCCCCACTGTGGCCACTATATCGTACCTCTCGGCACCTGCCACCAGCAGCCCCATGGGGGGCTGGCTCCTCGCCCGGGGCTTGGGACCCCTCACTCAGCACCCAACAGGGGCCTGGCACGTCCAACCACCTCAGCCTGGCCCACGACAGTGCTGCTGGTTCCGGCATTGCCATCACGACACCTTCTGCTGCTGACGTCGTTCCCAGGAGCCACCGCTCCCCTATGCAGAGGACTGCAGCCCGGCTGGAGAAACCTTCTGAAACCCAGCTCTGGTCCTCCAGAACCCATCCCAACCCCCCAAAACCTAGCCCTGCTCCCCCCAAATCCATCCCCAACCCCTCAAAACACATCTCTGGTCCCCCCAAACCCCATTCCCAGCCCCCTGAAACCCATCCCTGGTCCCCTAAAACCCACCCCAGCCCCCCCAAACCCATTTCCAGCCCCAGAAAAATCCATCCCTGTTCCCCTAAAACCCATCCCAGCCACCCAAAACCAATCCCTGGCCCCCCAAACCCCACCCCAGACCCCATAGACACTCTCAGGGCTTTTTTTTGGGGTTAACATTTATTCTGTCTGAGCTGAGAGCAAGGGGCTGGGTGGGGGTGATGCCGCTGGACCCCCCTCTCCCTGGTTAATATTAACACCTGGAAAATGGGCAAAAAAGCTTCAAACAGCCCCCCCAAAAGCTGAAGTAGTTTTTTGTGGGGTAAGTGAGTTAAAGAGGGTGTGGGGGAGCAAGTGATGCTCCAACCCCCATCACTATTTCAGGGGGTCCCCGAAGACCCCTGTGCTGGGGGTGGGTTGTTCACCGCTCACCGCAGGACTGGGGGCTCAGTGCCAGCTTCGGCAGCTGAAATTTAGGGGTCCCCTCACCCCTGAATCTCCCCAAATTGGAGCGTGGGGTGACTTCGGTCATCACTGGCCGCTGGTTGAATTTGGGGTCACCAGGGGCGAGCTCAACATTGGGTAACCGCATCTTCCCCATCTTGGGTTCGGTGAGGGGGGGCTCTGGTGAGGAGAAACCCACCCTGGGCACCCACCGCCATGGCCGGGCCTTGCCCTCCGCTTCCCCGTTGACGTGGGGATGGGGCTCCGCCTCCCGGTTGTCTTCTCCTTTCTCCTTTGGTTTCCCCAACACCAACGTTGCCGCCTTCACGCCGCCCATCTTCCCATCTTCACCCTCCCCTCGCCTTCCGACCCGCTCCCGGCAAAACCTGTGCCAAATTTTGGCAATTTGACCCTAGACCAGCGTCCTGGTGCCGTATCTTTCTTGGGGGTCTCCTCCATCCCATCATCCATCCCTGGCGGTGCCAGCTCTAACAGCGGCACCTTCAACGCCGACATACCAGTGGGTTTTGGTATCTTCCGGCTTACTGGATCCTCTGGTTGTTTTACTGGCACAGTGAAACCCACAGCAGGGACGGTGAACCAGGGCGTCAGTGGTTGCGCCCCACCATCACCCATCGCTCCTCTGGTTTTCAGCTTCAACTGGATTGTGCCGGGAGATTCCGGCATCTTCCTTCCTGCTGTGCCAATGCTCAAGCTCTCGGCACTTCCTCCACGTCTCATTATTTTGGGGTCTCCCCCGCTGCGGATATCGGGGCTGGATCCCCCAAATTTTGGCAACTTCACCCCCCCACCCAGCTCCGGCCCAGCAGGGAGTTTAGGCAATGATGGCACACGCCGGCTGCTCATCGCCGGCAGGGCAATGCCCACCTGTGGTACCCGAAGCCGGGGGCTCCCAGGGGACCCTGGTTCCACTGACTTCCCATCATCCTTGCCCGATCTCCCAATTCCCAACCGCGGCAGCTTCATCACTGCACCAGCATCATGGGGACCCTCCTCACCAGCAGCACCCTTGTCCCCATCCTTGACACTGAAAGGTGCCAGGGATAATTTGGGGACCTTCAGCTTCACCCCAGCACCGGCGGCACCAACCGTCCCCAAAGCCAGGTCTAAGGCCACCGTGGGACCGGTGACGGCGATGCCAGGTGGCGCTGGTGCAGGTGTGCCGCGGGATGCTGGGGGATGCTCGTTGCCATCGCCACCCATTTTAAGCTTGGCAAGGGACAACCCAAACTGTGGCAGAGTGAATTTGGGGGGTTTGGGTTTGGCGCCAACTCGCCAC